GATGAATCGGTGAAGAAGGATTGGCATGACTATACCTTCATGGAAAAGGATGCCAAGCGTGTGGGCCTCGGGGAGAAGGGAAAGGCCGCTTCGCTGGACGATGAGTCCCAGCGAGATTTGGAGAAGCGAATGTCCCTGGAAAATGGATTTAATGCCCTGCTCTCGGACTCGATATCTGTTAACCGTTCGCTGCCCGACATCCGCCATCCTCTGTGAGTTCTTATCAAAAGTCACTTAGTGTCGCCGAATTTCAGAGTCGAGATAAGGGAGTAGCTCTTAAAATACATATGTAGTTCTTTTATATGATTCTGCTTTAGTTTGTGAACATTTGAAGAAAGCATTTTATATTTATTACTTTATAGCAGCTAGATATCGAATTAATTAGATAAGTTTGGCGGTAGGCATATATGTTAATGTATAATTTATTGCAAATTGTAACTCATTTCAATCCCCCTATTTACTTGCAGATGTCACAAGAAGGAGTACGTGACGAAGTTGCCTACGGTCAGCGTGATAATCATCTTTTACAACGAATACCTGAGCGTGCTGATGCGCTCAGTTCACAGCCTGATTAATCGCTCACCGCCGGAGCTGATGAAGGAGATAATCCTGGTGGACGATCACAGTGACCGAGAATATCTGGGAAAGGAGCTGGAGACCTATATTGCGGAACACTTCAAGTGGGTTCGAGTGGTGAGGCTGCCAAAGCGCACGGGTTTGATTGGAGCCCGAGCGGCAGGCGCAAGGAATGCCACTGCCGAGGTGCTCATCTTCCTCGATTCCCATGTGGAGGCCAACTACAACTGGCTGCCGCCGTTGCTGGAGCCGATTGCTCTGAACAAACGGACGGCGGTGTGCCCCTTTATTGATGTGATTGACCATTCCAACTTCAATTACCGGGCGCAGGATGAGGGCGCCCGAGGAGCCTTCGACTGGGAGTTCTTCTACAAGCGGTTGCCATTGCTGAAAGATGACCTAAAGCATCCGGCCGATCCGTTCAAGAGTCCCATCATGGCTGGCGGCCTGTTTGCCATTTCCAGAGAGTTCTTCTGGGAACTGGGCGGCTACGATGAGGGCCTGGACATCTGGGGCGGAGAGCAGTATGAGCTCAGCTTTAAGATCTGGATGTGTGGCGGTGAAATGTACGACGCACCCTGCTCCCGCATTGGTCATATATATCGCGGACCTCGCAACCATCAGCCGAGTCCCAGGAGGGGCGATTACCTGCACAGGGTGAGTTGATCAGTAGGGAAATGAGAATGTACCACGCCTAGTTCTGTGGCAAGTCGAAATGGGAAATTTTAAATGGATTTTTAAACAGGTTTTACCTCGAAGTCAACACACTCCCAATTAGTTTATAACTTTTAGGGTCTCTAAACCCATTTAAAGTTCTTTTGTCTTTGAACTTCGCCAGTTAATTTTACAAGATTTTATTACTTCGGCTTGTTGGTTGAAACTAGAAATTTTTATATTGACTCTTCGTGATATATCTTTTTTTTCACATTGCTGTTTCTGATTTTCAAAGTTAACTTGAGTTAACAAGTTAACAAAGTTAACGCCAACCATTTTTTTTTAAGATTTCTTCGGCTACGATTTCCCAGTAATTATTATTTTTATCAGGGCAATCAATCATTTAATTAGACCCAACGGCTAACTTTCGATTACTTCGCAGAACTACAAGCGGGTGGCGGAGGTGTGGATGGACGAGTACAAGAACTACCTGTATAGTCACGGTGACGGGGTCTACGAGAGCGTGGATCCCGGCGATTTGACGGAGCAAAAGGCCATTCGCACTAAGCTGAAGTGCAAGTCCTTCAAGTGGTTCATGGAGGCGGTGGCCTTCGATCTGATGAAGACCTATCCGCCAGTGGATCCGCCGGCCTACGCCATGGGCGCCCTGCAGAATGTGGGCAATCAAAACCTTTGCCTGGACACGATGGGCAAAAAGAAGCACAACCGGATGGGCATGTACTCGTGTGCCAGCGATATAAAGGTTCCGCAGCGATCGCAATTCTGGGAGCTTAGCTGGAAGCGAGACTTGCGGCTGCGGCGAAAGAAGGAGTGCCTGGACGTGCAGATCTGGGATGCCAACGCGCCCGTTTGGCTGTGGGACTGCCACAGTCAGGGTGGCAACCAGTACTGGTACTACGACTACCACAAGAAGATGCTCAAGCACGGCGAGGGGAGCAGAAGGTGCCTGGAGCTGCTGCCCTTCTCACAGGAGGTGGTGGTCAATAAGTGCGACCCCGACAATCGGTTCCAGCAGTGGAACTTTGGCACGTTCAACGAAACGGCGCTGGACAATTACTCGCAGGACCTCGTCCTCAGCCTCTAACCGCTGCACTGCAATAGTATCACTTGCCATGTACTTAGAACACTTCGATGTAAATAACTAGGCTAGATAGGTTGTAAGGCCGCTTGGCCACTTTACAATTTACCCCGACTCAAGCGCACATATGTATTCCTGGCTGCAGCAGAGAGTATCTTTACCTTTAGTTTGGTGCATCTGAAACCAATTCCATTTGTAGTATTTTGTATGTTTCGGAATTTTGTTTGGTTTTAAACAAGACTCCGAATATGCTAGCCTCTAAATTGTCATACGTTTTGACCTGTATGACTTTGTACTCCAGAAAAAGTGTTTTCCATTAAATGATATTTTTTAAATAATAATCAGAAATGCTGGGATGGTGTTTCCAATGATTATCCCGCCCGGGTTTCAAATGAAAAATGCAGTCTGGCGATTTTAACTTCGTTTTCGTTTTATTTAATATTAATATCTGTTTGCTTTCCATGCGCGTACTTTAAATAAATATAATTTACGTTTTTTCTCATCCATCCGCTTCGTGCTTCACAATCTGTATATACGTTCTCGGTTTTGTGTATCGTTTTACAATATGTATGTATCTCGCTATATCGTATCTCTATCTGATTTTGCACCCGAATGTCGCTAAGTCAGGTGCGTTATCTTCGAGCTCTTTTCTGATTTCTAATTTCTGATTTCTGATTTCCGCTTAGTACTTATGCTGCTCAGTGTTCAGTGTTAATTGGTTTTTGTTTCTGCTTTATCATATGCCAATATACGTATAGTTTATGTATAAGGTGTACGCCGAGCGCCCCCGTAAAACTGAAAAGTCGATTTGGGGTGTGTGTAACTTAATGATGGCAAAGGATTTGCTTTTATTTGAAAATGATAAAAAAGCATTTACAAACTATAATAGTTGTTGGCTTGCGTAATCAGTTAATCAATTATCAATTATCATAAGTTATATTAATATATTATATAAACATTTAAATATTTATCAAAACATGTTTTTTCTTGTTGCTCAAAAGTCTTCTTCGCTGCCTTACATTTAAATTACATTACGTACAGTTTACATACGATCTATATGTCCGTTCGTCATATCAAGGATCGTATTATCAATAACCGTTTTGCTTATCCTTTCCGCTCTTCTCTTCTCTTGTTCTGTTTTATTTTGTTTTGTTTCGTTTTGTTTTGTTTTCTTTTGTTTTGTTTTGTGCAAAATATATTTATATGTATGTAGACTAATTTGATTTGAAATTCAGTTGCGCTGCCACATTTGCATTCTAATCTTTAATTGTATGTTACCTTTTGGATGGATGCAAATTATTCATTGAGTTTTATACAACAATTACAAATGGTTAGGCAAATAAGTTTAGTATTAGTTGTTGGTTGTTTAGTGCTTAATACTTGATTGGTTTCGAGTCTTTTTGGGTTTTTCAAACTAAATCTTGCAGAAATAATAATAACTAGAATTAACCCCTTATTTGCCGTCGATTTGCGCATAAATAAATATATTTAACTTTTGTGTTTTGCATGTGTGGTGTGTGTGTGTGTGTGTGTTGCTTAAACTTAGTTTAAATTATGATTAAAGTTTAAAAATGTCTTGCTGCCTTACTCTTTCATCGGTCTATCTCTTTCTCAGCAGGCGTGTGCCGCTCTGCTTGTCTCTTTCTCCCGAGCTCAAAAATATTCAATTCTTCTCTAGCTGTAGTTCTAGTTGTCCTGCTCGCACCATTTTCAACTTTTTGCTTGTGGTCTGGTATTGAATGATGATTCAACTGAGCATATGGGGAATTTCTTTCAGTGTAAACATAATTTTTCATGACAGAAATTCGCCATCTGTTTCGTTCATACAATTTAAATTCAATTGGCACTGCCACTCAAGTTCGAGCCAATCCCAAAGGATAGTCAAATTGTTGCAAAATGGGTATTTAACTAAATTTAAAACTCTTGTAGTGTAGTGTAGTTCTTTTGTAAAAACTGTTTTTCTCTGTTACCAACTATTTTCTTTTGTTGTCTTGCGAAATTCTTTACGTTTTTCTAGTTGCTTGTTAAAAAATGGTTTATTTGTACTTTTGGCAATGATCTTTTTTTCCACTTCCACTAACTCTTAGTCTGACTTTTATGTTTCTAAGCAAAAATTTCTTTATTTAGTTTTTGTTTTAGTAGTAGGGTTCGTTTTGTTCTTGTTCTGTAGTTCTGTAGTTTGCTTTCTGCTTGTCTTTAAAAATAACTCATATAACAGAAATTGTTTTGCTTTCTGACTCCTAAGAAACTAAAGTTAATAGTTGATTTTAAACTAACTGCTTTTTCAGTTTAGAAACTTGTTATTTTTGTGTGATATTTGATGAGTGAAGTGTGATGTATCTGGGTATTTTCTTGTGGAATGGTGACAACTCTGGCCCGGCAGCGTCAACTGTACTTTTTCAACTGCAACTCTTTTTTCCGGGGACTCTTCTAATTCTTCTCCTATGGCACACTAAATCAAACGCATTTACAAAAATAATTAATTCTTCTGTCTCCGTTTCTTTTCTTAGCTTTGAGTGAATTTTCAGTCATACAACCCTGTTCTTTAGTTTCATTTCGATTTAGTTTGGCGGTTTTCGAAAAAGTTTAAATTAATTTCCTCATTATTTACTAAAAATGTAATGCTGGCATGTACTTGTCAATTTTTTTTTGGTTTTAATCTAGCTTTTTGGAATAACACTGCGTTGAAGACTCGTTAATTCAAAATGTTTTAAATCAAAGTTCAAGAAACTCATACTCAAGTATTTCTTATTTTCAAATCCAATTCGAATATATCTGAAATGTGTTCAATTTATTGCTTTCCGAGCCGCCTAATTCCATCGGAATTCAAAAACCGGAACAGGATTGATTTGTGTGGATTCTTAAGATTAGGCCTATGCAGCGGACTCCGGCGGCTGGTTACCAGTAGTAGCCCCTCAGCCTGAAGAGATTCAGGTCTGCTGCTGCTGCGGCAGCGGCAGCGGCAGCTGCTGATGCGGAGTGGGCGGCGGCGGTGCTGCGGTGCCAGTGGGCGTGCCCGGCAGTGGGTGGGTGAGCCCACTGCCAGGCGGAGGTGGCAGATGCTGCTGCTGGCCGGCGCAGCCACCACCGTTGGGCGCGTTGTTCGTGGACGAGGTCGGACTGCTATTGCCCTCCGGGTATTTCCCCGAAACCACGCACGGATGCGTGGGGAACAGGGTCGTCCACGACGTGGTCGTCAGTGTTGGTGCGTGGAGGGCAACCTTCTCGTTTTTTGACTGCTCGCTGGCTTGGGACTTTTTGGAATCACTGCTCTTCTTTTTTTTACTGCCGCTGGCGCCGTTCTTCAACTGCTGGCCATTGGCGGAGGATTCCTTTTTAATGGGCACCGGCTCGTCCTGCATCAGGGCATCCTCGTCGAGATCGTCCAGATCCTCGCCAGCCGCCTTCTTTATTAGTCGCTCGCGCTCTTCTTTGGCTTTGTTGTCTAGGTCCGTGTTGATCTTCTTCACCCGCATCTTCTCCTCCCACTCATCGATGCCATGCCGACATCGATTGAGGTTCCTGTGCTGGTAGAAGATCAGGGTCATCCGCGTGGGGTGATGGCGATCTGGCCTGCGCACCGCCGTCGTGGCGTGCATCTCGTGTTTGGCACACTCTATCAGTACACTCCCATGGTTCAGGGCTATGGCCACGCCGCCCATTTGCGGATCCTGGAAGGCTTCGATGTTCTCATTGATCTCGGCCACCTCGCCGATGGGCTCGATTTTGCTGGAATTGGTGCTACCTGGCGAGGCGATGGGAGGTGCCGTTGTTGCTGCACCTGCGCCACTTGCGGGCGCTTGGATTCCAGCTCCCGAGTTGCCCGATCCTGCGTCATTGCTGGGGGAATCTCCAGTCGGCGTGGGCGTGGCTACTGTATCGGAGGTGGTTTGGCCATTGCTCAGGTCCGGCAATATCGTTTGCGGAGCTTCCTGTTGCTGCTGCTGCACCTGCTGCTGTTGTTGCTGCTGCTGCTGTTGCTGCTGCTGCTGCTGCTGCTGTTGTTGTTGCTGCTGCTGCTGCAGCACCTGTTGCTGTTGATGATGCAGTGGTCCTGGCACTGGAACTATCGATTTCTGGAGGCCCACGCCCGCGGGTGCTACTGATCCATGGCTGGCTATCAAGGAACCCGCTCCCGCGGCAGGATTCGCACCGCCGTAACCTGAGTTTACGGACCCCGTCTGATGGTGACCATACATGTTCCAGTTGGGCGATGGCGGCGGAGGCGTGGGCGGCGGCGTCTGCTGGGGATACATTCCGTACGGCGAGTACGCCTGATGATACCCATAGTTGTAGTTCATGTTCTGATACGCATCATAGGCGGAGTACGCCGAATGAGGCGGTGGCGGTGGAGGCGGGTACATCTGGTAGTTGTTGGGATACTGCGCCGTGTACTGGGCCGTGTAGTCGCTGGGCGGTGGCTTCGGCTTCACGAATCCCTCCTGCGGATGGTGCGAGGTGGTCAGCGGTGCGAGGTTCGTCATCGGTTGCATGGCCGTCAAGGCGGTTAGTTTGCTCTCCGTGAGATTGTGATGGTGGTGGTGGTGGTTCACCAGGGTGGTGGAGTCGGGATTCTCCTCGCTGACCAGCCGGCTCTTGAGATCACCAGGTGCGCCTCCCACTACGGGTAGACCACCGGGACCCACACCTCCTGTCAGCGCGGACTGTTGCTGTTGGGCCTGCTGATGTTGCTGCTGCACCTCCGTGGTTACTCCTCCGGGATTGGTTAGATTCGAGGCGGGATTACTGACGAGGGTTTGATAGTTGCCAGGTCCATAGCCATTGCTCGTTTCTAGCTGTGTCGGCGTAGCCGCAGGAGCAGCTGTGGCCGGAAGCGCTCCTGTTGGTGCTCCGGTGGTGGTGCCTCCGGGAATAGAAGTCGCCGGCGGAACACCTAGCTGTGGTTGAGCCGTAGGAGTAGTGGGTGTCAGAGGTGGCACTCCTGCCACCGCGCCTCCTGGTCCTCCTCCTCCCAGTCCGCCCACCTGCGCCTGCATGCCCATCGGAGCATGGGGCGTTGGCCACTGGCCGTAGTAGTTCCGGGAGTCTATGTAGGAAGCCGTCTGGTAGTCATAGGAGTACGGCGAGTCTAGGACAGTACTTGAGATCTGATTGGACTGCAGTTGGGCATCCGTGAAGGTGTCGATCATGGTGGCCATGTTCATCAGGCTGGAGTTGGAGCTCATGAGTTGTCCTGGCTGATTGCCCGTGGCTTGGCCACCATTGCTTTGGGGATTGGCATTTGATCCGTGGACGGGCGGAGTACTGAAAGCACTGCCCGCCGGACTGGGATTGTTTGTCACTGGAGTCTGGCACCGCGGCGAGGGAGTTGAAGGTGGCGCTGATCCCGGCGTGGAAGCACTCGAGTTATTGGACTGGTTGGACTTTCCCTTGCCCTTCGACTTGCCACTCGCTCCATTGGCGTTCACACCATTGCCGTTCTCCTTCTTGATGTGCGTGGTTCCCAGTGCTGGCGGACTGCTCTGCTGGTTGTTGGCTTGGACTTGGGACTGGGCACCGTTGCTGGAGCTGCTCTGGCTGTTGGCATCGCCAACCGCGTCCTGGTCTCCGTCAGGCGGCGCCGCATCGTCGCCGTCCTTTCGCTTCTTGCCATGCCTTCTGCAGGGTATCAATGGTGTTGATCGAACGCGTACCTCGCAGGGGAATCTACATGGGAGGCAAAGATTGCGGGTACATATTAGCAAGGCACTAGGATATGTACACCCGGAACAAAAATCGATCTGGATTCTGGGATCTCGGTCGATTTCCTTCCGAGTGCCTGGGAGCTGTTGCTCAAAACTCAACGGTACACTCACTTGTCCAGCATTTGCACCGCTCCGGTGCGGTGCTTGTCCCGCTGACCCTCGACACTCTCGAACTCGTCCGTGCCGTCCATCGTGTAGAGTGGCAGGACGTGGAACTGCTCGTCGTCTGGGAGGCGGGTGTCCCGGTTGCCGGGCTTCAGCAGCGCCACGTGCACCGTGCAGCCATCCTGCATGTTGTGCAGATCCCTGTGGGAGTGGGCGCAGAAGTCCAGGCAGGCGGTGACCCCGGAGAAGGGCTTCCCGGGCTCCAGACCCAGTCGGCAGTCGCTGGCCTCGTGCTCGTACTTCGTCTGGTTGTCGTAGGATCGCGGACAGACCTGCTTGAACACCGGTGCCAGCAGGGTGGCAATCAGGTTCATGTGCTCCTCGATGGCCGCCTCCTCGCTCTTCACGGACAGCCGGAACTTCCTCACAGTCTTGGAGCGGGCGTACTTGCAGCCATTGTAGTACATCGACCAGGAGCAGCCGAAGGAGTACGAGGCGCCCGACGATTCCGGATCGAGTCCTGCAGAAACAAAAGTTTATACTTATACCATTTTCAATGGATTGAGTATCAATGGATAAGTACCTTGACAGGCACAGGTGCGATTCTCATTGGTGGCACATCTTCGCGTGGTGGGCAGGCCGTACTTGTTCAGCTTGGGGATCAGATTCTTGTAGGCATTATCCGCCTCCAGGCGAGGCATTCCATCCCAGGCCACCATACACACTACAATGTATGCGGCTATGCATCTAGATAAGAAATACGGAAAATTATTAACCTTGAAGGTGTAGGAAGAGGCAGGAAACCCACCTGTGACCCGGTCGTTTCTTGACCACCACCAGAATCTTCTCTTCGAGATCAGCCCTCCGGATGACCCATTTGGCCACCGGGCAGCCTTGTGAAGTCTTGCCCTCCTTGCCCGTGTAGACGATCTTCTCGATTCTCAACTGACGACCCGTCAGGTTGCAGCGCTCCTCAAATTCTCTTCGCAAATCCATTAGGGATGAAGCCGTGCCTAAACCACAATGCAGTGCAATCAGTTTAAAGTTCGGATGATTCTGAATTTAGGCAAAACTCACCCAGATGTGTGTAGTATGTACCCGGCTCCGGAGGATTCTTGTCGGACTGGAAGCACTCGCACTCGGGAATCTCTGTCTTGTTGCCCTTTTCCAACCGATCCGTGGTGTCAAACATGGGGTTGATCTTCTCGTGCTTCACCACAATTTCGGGGATTTCATCGGGCTTTTGCTTTCCCTTGGCCTTGCCCACACCACCAATGGGTTTCAGCCCATTACCATGGGTGTCGATCAGTTCGTCCTCGTCGATGAGTTCCTCCTTCGGCTGTATACCCAATCCCAGGCAGGTTCCGTCCTTTAGGTGCTCCGCGGTGGGTGGTCGAGTGCCACCCTGTCGGCAGCAGGAGAAGCCATTGTTCAAGGGTTTCCCCTCACTGCCCAGATAGGCATAGCCTCCACCATGCCCCAGCATACCCATGTCCTCGATCTTGGGCTCCAGCATGCCGTGGTGACTCAAGTGCGGAGGAGCTCCGTGTCCCAGCGCATAGCGATGCGGCGGAATGGGATAGGCGGGTATATCCTTCTCGTAGTTCGTGGGCAGTGGTATGATGCTGTTGGTATCTGGTTTCCTGTCCAGCTCCATCAAACTCTGACTATGCCCGTGGATCTGGTGCGGCTGGTTGGCAGGCGGCTTCCCTCTGCCGCCGTAAGTGGAGTGCTGGTATCCAGGGACAAAGTTCTGCTGGAAGTTCTGCTGAAAGCTACTGGCTCCGGCGCCATAATAGGCCGAGTTGTGGTGATAGCCGGCGTAGTCCTGCTGCCCATGACCATGGTGTTGCTGCACGGGCTGTCCTTGGCCATCGTTCTGGCAGAAGTCCGCATACTGAATGAAGTTCTGGTAGTTCCGCTCGTAACCCTCCATTTTGTTGGGCTGCGGAGGACCCAGTAAACCGGGCTCGGTCTTGATGTACTGCGAGTGATAGTCCTGGCCCGGTGGCGGTCCTCCGGCGGCATGTGGATGCGGGGGATAGTGAGCACTGAGCGGTTTCAGGCCACCACCTCCCGGATCCGTGGAGTTTCGATCACGATCGATCTCCGCCGCTGCTTCCGCTGCTGCTGCTGCCGCCGCCGCTGCTCGACTGGCTTTGCTGCGACTCCTGGACTTCTTGGGCTGAGCGGCGGCTACTGGAGGATGTTGTTGTGGTGGCACCACCGGCGGATCCACCGAGTGGTTGATGGTCGTGTGCTGTCCTGGCTGGTGTTGCTGCAACTGCAGCTGCAACTGTGCATCCTGTCCTGCTGCCGGATAGCCGCTAACCACGCTCGGCTTCTTAAACGAGTTGGCGTGGTGCGGCTTCCAGATGTGATCGCCACCACCTCCGATCGGCTCGGCAGCCACTGGCCCACCAACCGCCTGCTGTTGCTGCTGCTGTTGTTGCACCTGCTGCACTTGCTGCTGCTGCTGCAGGTTGGGCAGTGGGTGGGTGGGCGTGGCACTGCTCGGTCCGTTGGCGCTCAGCGCCGCTTCGGGCCGGAGATGGTGGCTATACGATAAAAAATGACCGGTCTGCTGTTGCTGCTGCACCGCCGTCTGCTGCTGCTGCTGTTGCACCTGCTGTGGCTGCTGCTGCAGGTCCGGCGGCGGATCCTTGGGATCGCTCTTGCGCATGATCATCGACTTGATGCGGGTGTTCAGATGGAGTCTCTCACCCTGGGCATAGCCCTCGCCGCCCAAAGACTGCTGCTGCTGCTGCTGCCAGTTCCAATCCTGCATCGGTGGCGAGGAGAGGTGTTGCTGCTGCTGCTGCTGTTGTTGCTGCTGCTGCGGAGCAACATAGGGCTGCAGCCCGTTGCCCGTGGGCGACTGGTGTTGCTGCTGCTGCTGCAGCATGTTGCTGCGCGTGGGCGACTGGGGCACCGCCTGGTTGGGTGGCTGCATGGGCGACGAGGCGGGCTGGGCCACCACTGTGGGCGGTGGGGCTGGCGTGGTGGTGCCACCGCTGACCACTGTGGTGGCGTTATTGTTGCTGGCGTTGCTGTTGTTCGTGTTGCTGGTGTTGCTGCTGCTGTTGTTGCTGCTGTTGTTGCTGTTGGTGGCTGGGGAACCGCTGTAATCGCCTGAATACCCGTTACAGTTGAGTGAGCGCGGCGGCACGCTGCTCACCCGCGGATATCCAGGCGTGTCGTTTCCCGACATCGTCTTGTTCAGGTCCGCTCCCAGATGCTGCTGCTGCTGTTGCTGCTGCTGCTGCTGTTGTTGCTGCGACGGCGGCACTGGTGCGGCGGACACCTGTCCTGCGTAGCTGGGCGCGAATCCCGCCACACTCTGCAGACCCACCTGGTTGATGGCCGACGGTGCCGTGGACAGCTGCTGGCTCTGGAAGTCGTAGCGCTGCACTGGTGCCGCGTATGGCGACCTACCGTAGTTGGGATCGAATCCCAGGCCCGACTGCACATAGCCGTTCGAGGGATACGCGTACGACTGCGTCTGGAAGTCCAGGGAGTTCAGGGACGTTATGGCCGGTGTGTTCTGTGGTATCTGCTGTATGAACTGGTTCTGCCAGCCCTGCGACGGATCCGCCTGCCATGTGGGGTAGAAGGCCATGGGTGCCTGAAATCAAAGATGCAACGAACATGATTAGCTTTTCATCACTTTGAGGAAAGTTCTAAAGGGTATTAGCTGCTTCCTGCTAATTTTTCTTGCCATATCCCCCATTAGTTCCAGGTCTAGACTAAACCCAAACCAACTCAATGCCTCGACTGCTTTGCAACACCATTCATAAATAAGCATTTTGGCCATAAAAGCAGTTGAAAAACTGACATGAATTATGTACCCAAAGCTAGACTGGATTGGCCAGTCATAAATCATATTGTGTGTGCCCTAATTAGGCTCAGTCTAATTGGTGGCAGGCTCCAAGCCCCAAGCCCCAAAAACAGAAATTTCCTTTTTGCCTGAGTTACAACTTCCGCGGCATACACAAAACACCACTGTTAATTAACACGCCTCAAATTATGCTACATTTTTTGGTCCCTGAATAAACAGGAAGCGCCGTGAAAGGAAATAAAACGAAAAATAAGCCAGAAAAACAAAGCCAGACTGCTGGCCAGACCCAAAAACTCAACCCGTTTTCATTTGCATTTTTACGAGCGCGCAGAAAAGTTATGAAAGTGAAAGTGGGGAGCAGTGGAAGGCGGCCACAATAAAATTCAAATAAAATGTAAAAATTGAAGCACACACTATTCGGATTACACTTTACAAAACTGGTTGGCACTCAACACTTAATATTAGTCTAGTTCTAAGCCAGCCATGTTTTTGCTCACATAAATTCTTTCCTTTCGTGCTCATACAACTTTTTAAAGTGTAAGCTTCAATTTAAGGAAAAGTGAAAACTTTTTGCCCAAGTGTAGGCCAGCTGAACTGCCAGGCAGCTGGCTTCCTGTATCTGGAATTTATCTGCACCTGGCTCCCGTGTGTGTGGTTTTGTTTTCAAAAGCATTTAGCAATCATTGATAAAAATCGACAAAATCTTTATGAATGAATGGGGAACTATATCTACTATATATATATATATATATACACGATGTCTGGCTGTGGCGTGTATGAGTTTGCACAGCTGCAATTGATTGGGCTCGGGGCCACGTGACGTATACGCAATGTGGCCATGCGGATTTATGGGCTTGTTGTGTTTTGTGTTTTGTATTTTGCATTTCGCATTTGGCAATTGGCTGCCTTGAAATGGAAAACGAAATGGAAATCAAAGCTGTCTGACCAGCAGAATGGTGAGGGGGGTCGAAACTCGAAAAGGTCAATGGCATTGCATGGGAAATCGAAACCGATTGACTCACCATGGGCTGCTGCGGTTGATCCTTCATGGTTTGGATTTGTGCGGTTATCTGATGTTGCTGCTGTGGCAAATGTTGCTGCTGTGCGTGCTGCTGCTGCTGCAAGTGCTGCTGCTGCTGCTGGAAGTGCTGCTGTTGCTGCTGCGGCTGCTGGTACTGCTGTTGCTGCTGCTGCGACAGTAGTTGCTGCTGCGACAGAAGTTGCTGATGCTGCTGGTACTGCTGCTGCTGCTGCTGCTGCAGGTTGCCTGTTGCTGTTGTGGTATTTGGCGATTGCTGCGGCAACAGTGTTGCTGCAGGCACTGGACTTAGACGAGGCGATGTTGCTGATGCAGCGGCTGCATTCAGTTTGTTTGCTTTGGTGGAGTTTTTGCGGGCGCGTGACTGCTGAAAAAGAGGGAATAGAATCTCTCGTTAGTTGGGGCTAAAACTAAGTGTAAACTTTGATAAGCTGGCTTAGCTTAATAAATAATGGCTTAGCTAGCTCTAAATCATATGCAGTAATTTGAGTTCAAGTCAACAAAATGGAGACCGGTGAACGTTGGTTGAATATGGTCAGCTAAACTTTGTTGCTTACACTTAACAGCTCGTAATTGCATGGCCCAAGATATTTTTTAATTAAGGAAATTTGTTAGTTGGCACAAATATTTTAATTGCCTCCCCATCCGATCGCATAAATTATGCCCGCCTCAGCTCACATAATTTCAACTTGTTTTCAGTCCACAAAACGCCGGGCAACATGTAAAATTTATGTTGCCCACGATTTATGCGCAATTTATTTGTGCAGCCGATTCCGAAAACAGAGGAAAAATGTTGCAAAAATTCGTAGCAACAGCTGCGGTTACCATTTGTTGTTGTTGTTGTTGTTGTTGTTGTGCCTGCTCGCCATTAAAGGCTTTCAAAATTTATGTTCATGAAAGCATCGCTGTCGTTTCTTCCCGTCGGTTATTAGTTTTATTTTTCTACATTTTGTTTGGCGAAGGGATGCAAAGTGCAGTGTAAAAGGCAAAAATAGTTTTCCACTGCTCCGGGCAGGTCAATCGATAATGTCAGGTCAGATATTTTTGCATTAGCCAGAGAGTTTATTTTGTGGCCTAACTCGGCACTATTCATGGGTGGAATACACTTTAACAGCTTCCAAAAATTGGGAAGCCCACTTAAATATTGGCATATGGTTGTTCGGCAAACATAAAATGTATAAATGGTCGATTCCATTTAATGAAGCATTGCTCTGCAAACATTTAAAATGCTGGCTGTGCAAATATGCATTTACACAATCAGACAAACTTTTCAGAATTCTGATGAAATGGGTATGCAGTCAAGGAGGAGGCAGCCGTATAAATAAACATTGTGGCTGTCGTAAATTTCTTGCAATAAATCAACAAAACTCCTTGGGTCCAGGCAAACAAATATCTCTCGAAATATTTCTGCTAATTGCGAAAGGCACAAATCAAAAATGGCCCAAAAAGGCAGCATCCAATTAAAGTGGCCGATGTGGCTGGGAGTTTGGTGCAGACAACAAACACAAACGCCATTTGCATTTGCAGGGCCAACAACCAACAAAATCGCAGTCAAAGCAAATCGTTTGTGCAAATTGGCTGCAATAAAGTGATTTATATTTTACACATGTGTGAAATAATATTTGCCACCTTAGTGTCCATATGGATTTATCTGCTATGCATAGTATGTGTCGCATAATGCTATGCAAATAAATCCAACAATGCGAGCTGGTAAATTCGAATTCCTCTCCTTATCTCTGGGACCAGGTGGCAGCCAAGCAGCCGAGCAGCCAAATAACTTGAACAAACAGCGGCCTGGAAAAAGGAAAATGGTGTGGTGGTGATGGGTTTTCCCTCCTTTTGCTTTCTAAAAATATTTGCATTGCAAACATCGATGGGGCTGGCAAACGCAGGTGCAAAATTAAAATAAATTTGCACGCAATTTCCAATTGAAAATTGCCAATTAGTTTTGCTTACATTTCTATTTTTGTATTTTAAGAGCAAACATTCCCAAAATAAACACACACCTGCAGATGTGAGCATAGAATTAGGACGACTTCAAAAAGAAAAAAATTTTTTTTTCTGTCACCATGCTGTAATACATTTAATTGCCTAACAAATTTCCAAAATAAATATATTCAATAAAATATATTCAATATATATCCCAAAACAAGAGCAGTTTTTAACTAATTTTATTTTTTCATTGTTAAATCATTTTTTTTTGAACCCCCTCTGTTTATTTGGACCCCATAAATATTAGCATTGAAATATTAATTAAACTCTTGCAAACACTGGCGAAAACATTTGCTTAGACATCGGCACACTAATAAACAAACACGGCGCAAATGAAAAATCGTAAAGAAAGTAAATAGATATTTTTTTCCAGGCCCTGGGACTTGGGTAAATGTTTTTGTAGTTTTTCTGCGCTGCGTTTAATGCATTTCCTACACTATTTACCCAGTTCATAAAAGTTAATTAAATTTTTATGATCGTCCGTTTGCATTGCGGCCACTATTTGTTTCTTGGCAAAATAAATAAAACGTTAAAGAAAGATGACATCGCGGAGATACACGGTGCTCGCGTGTGTGAGTGAGTATCTGTGTGCGAGATAGTGCGAGATTAGTGAGTTGCAGTTGACACAGCTACAACAACAGCTACAAAAAGCACTGCGGGCAATGGCCCTCGGATTCGGTGTATGCCTCCACTTTTTCTCTGAGTGTCGGAAAGAAAATTGCGCGCTGAGTAAACAGCAATTAGTAGTGCCTCTGTGTGCGTTTATCTCTCCGTGTGTGTGTGTTTTTTAATGTGTGTTTTTATGCTTGTGTGCGTTACATCGCCTTGATAAGCAGCAAACGAAACGCAGCGAAATAAGGTTAAGTAAAGGTAAAATCATTGGCGAGATAGTCGCCGAATACCCTACAGCTTGCATTATTTATATACAGCTGGCATTTATAAAATTAAAAAATAAAATTGAAATACTTTTGATTAGTTTCGGTTAGTTTTTTGAGGGTTTACCTGAAACATTTTGTATTATAGGGACATATAACTGATATATGTTAGTAGGACATTAATTGATTTTAAGCACCCAACATGCGCCTGCATAAAACACACAATCATGCTAATTTAGTTACGAGCCCAAGCTGATATTGTTGCTAAGCCACTAGCCAAGTTACTGTATACCCGTCCCACTTTCACGCTGATAAGGGCCATATAACAGCCCTCTCGCTCTGCGTTTTTTATAGTGTGCCAGCGCGGCCGTCATAAATTACACACATAACAGAGTATACAATATAAATTATTTACATGTCCCCAAAGTCAAAGTCTGCTGATAAGGCGCAGGGAGGAGGCAGCGGCGTGGAATGGAAAACAAATCAACAAGCAAAGAAAGAAATAAAGGTAAAGGACAGCGAAAATAAAGAAAATGCACCGGGTAAATTGTAAATAAATCAACTATTAGTTATCGCTTGCGCTGGTGTGCGTTCCTATTTATTTAATGTTTTATCAGCAGTCTATTTGTCTGCTTGTCATGTCGCGCATGTATTGGAAAATGGAAAAAAATCTGCGGGAAAACTCGTTTAGCTGCAGAACAAATTAATTTAAATTGTTTAGAAGGGAATTTTTCAACACTTCTGCGTTACTTTCTAAAAGCTCAAAAACTGATTAAGTATTTCGAGTTCGGAGCTCAGGACCCCGGACACACATATCCCATTTTGGAATAATGACTAGCAATTAAAGCAAATCTTTATCGGGCCCATTCTGCTTATGCTGCAGAATACTTCATTTTGGACTCGCAAGCACCATTTGCTCTAACGGCAAATGCAATTTCTATGATTGCATCCAGGCATCTCGTGCTCGCCTGCATTTCCCATTTTCCATTTTCCATTTTCCCTTTGCCTGGCCCTGGTTTTTCGTTCTTCGGCGCTCCTAATGCTCCATTCTTATGCTCGTTTCGTCTCTCTTGCGCTTGAAACACCTTTGGGCTGCTCAAATATTTAACTTGTATTTCGTATTCATGCTAATTTTGCATTTTCCACAATTTTCCCGCCCACTTCCACCCCCTCCTTGGCCCCTTTTATGTGCACAGAATGTTTCTTCTCCCGTCCGCCGTTCTCTCTTCCATTCCATTATCCTGCAGCTTTTGGGTTGGCTATGCAGGTACAGGCAGAGAAAACCCGTATTTGTTTGCATTGAAAGCTTGCCTTCGAATGTAGCAGTTCAGTGGTTTTAGAAATTGCCATTTTCCTCAGGTGCACTGCAACCACCAGGGTTTTGTAGGCATTTATGAATGTGTGCAAAAGTATGCAGCAAAGGGTATTTCTCGCAGTGCTGCACGGTTGAAGGCTCTTGAGATTCTTGCGAACTGTCTGGCTATCTCCTCTCACACTCGCACACCACACACACACACACACACACACACCGTCGCACAAGTAATTGCGACTGCATATGTGTGTGTACCGTACTGTAATTGTACGTGTCGAGTGTGCGCCGTTGAGCAGGCTACACTTTTTTCCCTCATTTTTTCTGCTGCCTTGTTAGCAAGTGTCTGTGTGTCGAGGGCTTGTTCTCGGCGATTGAGTGTGTGTGGGTGGGTGTGTGTGTGTGTGTTTTATTCAATTTAGCTTTCAATTAGGCTGCAATTGTTCGTCCATAGCACGGACAGTTGCATTCTTAAGCAGCTCGCTTCTGCGGCAGCTTAACTAAAATCGAAATAATCCACTGACATGACATTTGCCCCAAGAAATGCCTGACTAATTCAATTTACGCCTTTTGAATTATTAAAGTTCCTGTTAGTCAACGTGAAGGGCTTTTCATCAAACCATCATTGATTGCATGCACTTCCACTCACATCATCATTTCGATTGCATATTTGCGATAAATTAAATTGAAAAAGGGCGGTGGAAGTATACATTTGCTGCAGCTCTCAGTGGTCGGTCTGTTTATAATCAGTGATTGAAAGGTACTGTTTGCTTTCGACTATGTAAGGTACAAGGTAAATGTGTACAACCTTATTTTAATTGGTAAGCTACATGTTATATCTAATAAATATTCATTTTAAATAGGGCCTCCTTAGTTTTCAGCCCTAATATGGCGTATCCAAGTGAAATCGATAGAAATTCATGGTAATGCATTAAATTAGGTACTTTTACATAAACATTATCCATCACTGTTAATAAAACATTACTTTCTGGTAATCAATAGATCAAATATTTGCAAATCGCAGCCGAAAAAAAGGTGAGCAGACTTTACATTTCGAAAAGTCATTTGGAAATGGATGGAAATGCTTGTTATATAATGCATTTCGTTTTACACCGCCCTCGCTTTCTTGTTGTGCCAGAAAACTTGTTTGGATGCTCTGTTCCCGTCTCTTTCTCTGCGCCTCCATCCATC